GTTCAATCACCATCATTTGATAAATACTTTGCATTTTAAGCAGTCGATAGTTAAGCATTATGAAAAGATTCTCTGAGATAAACTACTAAGCATTTCCAATAATTTTGCCAAACGGAGATATAAGGCCTTATCTCACAGCTCACTTATTCCTTAGATGCACAGGATCCATTTAAGCAAACCTCGGCTCATTGCAGTTCAGCATTAGTATTTCAGAAATGTATTGTGTGTCATTGATATGAGTAATATTGCTCTTCGACAGCAATCTACTAGAATTCCTTATGTACATTACCAGTGATAGAAACTAATTGAAAAATTTTCTTTGGCAGCAACAGGAGGGAAGTCATTAACTCAGCCCTCCATTGCACGATCACGATCACTGAATGTGTTTCGTGTTTCAACCCACCTGGTCATTTGCTATAAACGTAAGACATAAAGGGCTTGACCAACATCAGCCAGGACCTGAAGCGACTTCCAACACAGTTATGATTAAATTCTGTCTATGGTTTCAGCAAGCCATTTTGTTTACGTTCATTTACAAAAATTTTGGACTTTTTTTGTTGTCTTCGCTATCGAAACGAATAAGTAGCTCCTGAAGAAGAAGAAGAAGAAGAAGAAAAAGAAGAAGAAGAAGAAAAGAAGAGGAAGTGAAAGAAGATTAATGCTAACAATGAAATTTTTTTTATCAATTTATCGAAAAATGATCATTGTTAATCATTAATTTAAATGACATGGATATAATTTGTCCAAGTTTCGAAACAGTATCCCTTGATTTACGCGTATACTACATAAACATTTCCTTTAATTCACGCCACTATGCTTAGTACAGTACCCATGGTATAGAAGGAGCATCACGTGCAGTTCGTAGCGAATAGTACAGCGATAATCACAAAATTCTCTTGAACAATATAGATGATGACTTTCAATGCACGCGTTAACTTGGGGAAACCATTCAGCTTTAAGCTGAAAGCACTTCTGACTGCATGATGACAAGAAAAACAGGTTTTACTTTGTTAGATAGCACGGTCAAGGTATCGATTCATTGCTTGGGTAACAGCTAATAATCTTCGCTTCCCGATCGGTCGGGGGTCATTCATGGTAAGAGTTATTGTCTTGAACCTTGGATCGGGAAGCAAGCACCATTAACCAAAAAAGCTTTTATTTACACCTGTTCTGACGTTTCCACAGAGCTGGCATCTGCCATTTGCAAGGAATGAACAATGTATAAACAACTGATTGAGTGAGTTGCTGCTTGACTCGACCGGCGGAAGGATTGATTAGTTACTAATTAAGCAATTAATTAGATTCCAAGCCTCGAAAATGTCTATGGAGTCGATTCAACCGCTACAAATTCTGTTTCATTTAGCTGCGTTGTAGCGATTACTTGATCCAAAGCTTCATTCTATATCGGTATCTATCCATTACGGTGACATCGTTGTTGTTGTGGTTATGACAGTTTTGTAGGATGGGGCAACAAGGCAAGAATGATGAGCGTCTATGGCTGTCCTATGTTTGATTATTCAGTTTTACATAATATGATTATTTTTATCACCCGTCATTCCTAAGCACGAAGCCTCACATGGCACAGGTAGATTTATTGATCATTTCCAGAGCAGGTAATGCAACGGTCACACAGGTATAAGCATATAAACTTCATTATAAACCATGCTCTGAGCTAACCTGAGCCACATATAACGCCAAAGAGTTCATGAGAGCCCAACGACCAAGCTCCATTCTTCAGGCTCTTCGCCTTTCATGACCGATCAGGTAAGCGCTCTAGTCATGCTCCTAATATACCTGACACCTATGCCAGCCATCAGCAGAACAAAAGCGGAGAAACAGAAAAGTAATGTGCACAATTTTGCCACAACGGACACCGCATATGGCATTTCTCTTTCATGGCACATGTGCTTTATTGACTTATGGAAAGCCTATGACCAGATCCCCCGCAACAATCAGTGGGCATGCCTGCGAACATATGGGATAGGTGGCCAGTTGCTACGACCCATTC